GAGAGAGGGCGGGAGAGGGGGGGGGGGGGGGGGCTGGGCTGGGAGGGGTTGCGGGTCGGGAGTGAGGGGCACCGGCAGAGCTGGGGGGGGCAGGGCTGCGCTAGCAGGAGCTGCGGGTCGGGAGTGAGGGGCACCGGCCAGGCTGGAGGGGGGATACACTGGAGTGGACAATCCACCCCTGTCTTGCCCCTAAGACCTATGTTGATTTATCTGCGGCCGCAGCTCTGGGGTGCAGTAACCCCGACCCATCGCTGGGGGGCAGCGTGGAGCTACGTTTGGGGTCAGGTGAGAGTTCTCTGTGTCCCTCCCATGGCACCCCACCACTCTCTTCCCCCCTGGGGTTGGTCTGGATCCAGCCAGGCTCAGAACCCCCTCTCCAGCTGATCCGCCCTGGGGCTCTCCCTCGCAGAGCTGGGCCTCTTCCGGTGCCATGTCTAGACACCTTCTGGCGCTGGGCGCAGCTCGGCTGGACAGACAGACGGCGCTGAGTGACTCCGTCCCAGGTTGTGAGTGGCGGACGGCCCAGCTGGGGGCAGGTTTCTGTGGAAGCAGTAGGGGCTGGAGCTAAAGCAGAGCGGCCCCAGAGAGAGACACCGACTAGCCTGAGTTGGAAAGTGGCAAGCGCTTGTTTGCTGGAGCAGGGTCTGGCCTGGAGACGGCGCCCCAAGGCTCCCCATTCTCGGTTGGCCTGCCCCAGGGGCCTAGCCGGACCCAAACTCGCTCACTCCGAACTGCAGCTGTTTAAACCTTTGCATCTAGGGGATCTGCCCCCTGCCCCGTTCCCCCCAGCCCCAGTACCACACCCTTCCCCTAAGCCATGCCTCTGAGCAGGGTGGCACCTACAAGGCCGAGCTGCTGAAGTACCTACAATGCCACAGCTCACCGGGACCTGCTGCTGGCACCTGAGTGGTTTGGGGCACAGACTAACTAACCCCAGGGATGACGCTGGTGGCAGCGGTGGGATGCCAATCAGCAGATTTGCCTGGGAGGGTTCCAGGGGCAGGTGCCATGGTTACGAGGGTTACGTGGTGGGTGGAAACGAACAACCCCAACACTCAAAGTGTTCCCCCGGGCTCCAAGAGCGGGAAGAGGCAGGGTAGGGCAGGTGGGGAGATGCGGTCGCCCATCTTCATGCCCAGCACTTGGGGAAGGCTGGGGTGGATCCACCCTTCTGAACCAGCTGCCAGAATCCCCGGCTGGGTTTTCTTGGCTTGCTGCTCCAAGGCGATGCCCGGAAGACTGAAGGACAGCGATCCGATACCCTGGGGGGAGAGAGACCCGGGTATGGGGGTGTGACGTTATTGACATAAACTGGGACCATATAGATCATTGTTGCAACCAAAGTCCTGTAGTGGC